GGCGTGTCCGCGTGTCCGCGGAGTGCTTTGTTTTGGATAATAATAGATTTGTGAGCGCGGGGCACTTGAACGCACCGTCACCTGCTAATAGCTTAACGGCCGTCCTGGCCCCGCAGCCTCGCCACAACAAACATCTCATCTCAAGTAAACAGGAGCACGACCGCCCTGTTGCCAGGCGACCGTCACCATGAGTGCTTGCCCGTGTGCTTGATTAGCACCGGGCAAAAAAACAAAAACAAAACACAAAACAACAAAAAAACACACACACACACACAAACAAACAAACAAACAAATAAAGGACAGGGAAAGAGTATGAATGAAGCCTCGCCAGTTTTTAGGCAGGACACGCCCCCACTGCCATATGACTTTCCATGGCGACACTCAACTAGTTAGGGCAAAATGGGGGTCTGTTTTGTGTAGCAGACCACATGCCTGCATATCGTGCACACAACAAGGGACCTGGGAATAGCCTCTCAGAAGGAAGAAATACTTTTTGGGCTTTGTATGAAAATCGGTTGAGAAAAAAAGCGAGTTCTGATTTACCGTCACTATCGATACGTTGCCCCCACCAACATGGCGGTCACAAAGGCACGTCGATCCGTTGCCATGTTGAGTAACAGGTGGATTGGGACGCACCGTCGTATTTTATCTTGGTAAAATCTTCACTGACACGTTCAGCAGGATGATTCCGGCAGACTTCGGTTGTTTTTTTAGGAGCACGTTGAAGCAGCACAGATATCAATCAGCACGTGAATTAGCATGTGGAGGAGCATCTTTATTTGCAGGTAAGTTGACGTGTTTGCATATTTGCTAGCAAGATGAGATTGCCAGCGTGTTTCGTGGCATGTCGTTTGCCTGTTTGTATTAGCATGTTTGGTAGCATGAGCACAGCGCGTGAAAGAGCATGCGCAGTGGGATGTTTTGGAGCATGCTTATTTGGCCGCAAGCTGATTAATAGCTTGTTGCTAACCATGTTCCTTGACCACTTTGCTAACGTGTTTGTTTGGATGTTTAACAGCATATTTCTGCAGGTGTTTACGAGAACTTTTTTTGTCCTCATTTTTTGGCCTCTTTATTTGAGTAGCATGTTTAAAAACCAGCATGTACATGCAGCCTTGTGCGTGTGTGTGTGTGTGCGCGCGTGCGACCAATCAGCTAAAAAAAAAAAGTTGCTAATTCCCGGTCGCTCCGCGTTGGTTCACATTCATCCCACGAGACGGCCGCGCCTCACCTAGCATGTTTGGTAGCATGTACGTTAGCTTGGTTTCGAGGAGTGTTTATATAGTGCATTCGTTTCCCTCTTCAATGACATCATGACTTTGCATATTTGGGCTCACGTTGCGCGGCGCCTTGAGTAGCATCTTTATGAGCACGATGCATCTCAAGCAACAGCTAGATGCACATTTTTAGTCATGTATGACCTCATAAATCCATACGCGTGTTCATCTACATTTTAGTAGCATGTACGAGCGTTATTGTTAACATTTGAAGTCAACCTTGATGCAGACAACTGTATGCGGGCACTTGTAACACACACACACACACACACACAGAGCGAGATGGTGGGCAGTAATGTGGCACTAGTGCCGTTAGTATTGATTAGCATTGATTTCCCGCCCTCTCGCTTTAATAAATGTCTTGTGCAGCCCTGACAGGAAGTCAACAGTGCGGCGGGTAAATCGACCGCCGCGACTTCATCACGCGCCACGCACACCACTTACACACTACTTAGTCAGACTGGGAGTCCATTATGCATGCGCACACACACACACACACACACACACACACACACACACACACACACACACACACACACACCCGCTGATGCACCAGCACAT